CCTCGCCGAGTCACGTCAAGCACGAGTCCTACACCAGGCGCAGCGGCGCTTCACGACGGTGGTCCACAACAGGAACTGGCGCGACCTCGCCGTGGAGCTCGCCGAGGAGGGCTCCGCGGGATCGCGGTCTGCTCCTCGCGGCAAGAAGGGCAAGGCGCAGGCCAAGGGCAGGGAGCGGGCGAAGCATGAGGCTTGGCGGGAGGCAGTCCGCTTCGTGGCGGTGAGCCAGGATGGCGCCGGCGCCTTCCTCAACGCCATCCCAATGCGGGATGACATGCGAATGGAGACTTGGGGGCGATGCGTCTTTCGGTGCAGCGCCGCCTGGGTCTCCCCCTCGACGTGGCCTGCCAGGCCGCGGCGGCGGGCAAGAAGACTCGGAATGGGAAGACCCACGACGAGTATGGCGACGCTGCTGTCAACGTACCGCAGCAGGGCCACAACACCAGACACAAGTACACGCTTCGACGCCTCATCCTCGCCCTACGCGCCGCGTGGGGCACCGCTGTGCGAATGGAGCCGAAAGCCCACCTCGGTCAGAGTTACAACAAACAACCCGACGTGGACGCGGACAACATTGGCTCGCACGGCACGCACTATTGCGGAGACGTCAAGGTCGTCTGTTCCCTCAGCAGCAGCGGGGAGCACGGTCGGAAGGGCGCTTTTGTCGCTTTCGGCAACACTGAATCATTCTACCGGAACATGGTCATGGGGCATGGGCCCTACTGCGAGGAGGGAGAGGGAGGTGGGGGGCAGGGAGAGGGGGGGGGGAGAGGAGGAGGGGGGGGGGGGGGGAGGGGTACCGGGGGGGCGGCATGGAGGGGGAGAGGAAAAACAAGGGCGAAAGAGGGCAAGGAACTGGGCGCTGGCATACCAGGGGGGGCAGGGTGGTGGGCGGCGACCGCCGAATACCGTCCTACGGCGGGGACTATCGCTACGCCAGGGAAGACAAGGGCGTCGAAGTGCAGCTGCTGCTGTTCGAATCGTTCGGCGGGTTCGGAAAGGGGGTCCGTGAGATCCTCCGGAGAGCGGCGGACGTGCTACAGAACAAGCTGACGCGGGCCCAGTACCTCGATGAGGTGACTTGGACCACCAAGAGCTGGCTGGGGCTGCAGAAGCAGCGCATCTCAGTCGTTCTTCACACGGCCATCGCAGAGCAGGTCGTGAATGAGCTTGCCTGTGGCGGGGGTGGGCGGGTGCACGGAGCTAAGTGCCTCGCCACCCTCGCAGGAGTCGCTTAGGCGGCTCCCGTGGTGTACCTGTGTACTGTGTTAGTGCCAGTGCGCGCCAGTCCCGTGCCCAGTGTTGTGCAAGGGAGTTTTGTTGTAAGATTCTTTCTCTTCACTTTTGTTTGAGAGGCTCCTCTCAATACTCTACTTCCAGTAGACCCGCTGGTATCTCTCTCTCCCTCTCTCTCTCTCTCTATGCCCATGCGAGGGCGCGCTCATCTCGCACGCGTTCTTCCGAACGGGTGTGGCCGAAGGGGGGGCGGGGGGGGCGGGGGCTCACGCCGCCTTGACGAAGTCGTCCTCATCGATCGGCCCCCAGACGTTCGTCTTCTTGGAGTCCTATTCAATGAACACTCCCACCAGTGAGAATGAGACTCATGACAAGGCCCCCAGACGCTCGACTTCTCGGAGTCCTGCAGCTGGATGCGGTACGCGTTGCCCTGGTCCCATGTCTTGATCACCACGCCCGGGCAGTAGCCGTCCGCCTGCTCACGCGGCCGCCGCCGTGAAGAGACGCCGTTCACGGCCCGCGAGCTCGGCGCGCGGGGGGCGGAGGAGTCGCCGCGGCCACGGTGTCTCAGACCTCTCGAAATCTCTCTCGGCGAACCTCGGCGAACCTCGGCGAACCTCGGCGAATCTCGGCTGGTCTCGGCTAGAGCGCGCCTCGGCCATGTCCTTCCCCACCCGCGCGCGCACCTTGTCCCCAATCTTGAAGCGCAGCTGCTCGGAGCACTGGCACTCCTTGAAGCCTAGAAAAGAAAAAGAGCACACCCTCGTCGCCACGTCTCTTTGTTCGGAGCAAGCAGCGCTCCTCCTCGAGGCAAGGAGGTCCGCTGGGAGATAAGGGGGAGATAGGGGGAGATAGGGGAGATATGGGTCGTCTCGCGGTGCGCCCTTGAGCAGCCCCTCCTTGTCCAGGTCTTCGGCTAATCTCGGCCAATCTCGGCTAATCTCGGCTAATCTCGGCCCTTGAGCAGCCCCTCCTTGTCCAGGTCCTTTCCGATGAAGACGAAGCGGTTCTCGCGCGTCTCGTTCGGGCCCCACCTGCTCGCGGGCGCGAGATTCGCCGAGATTCGCCGAGATTCGCCGAGTTTCGCCGAGATTCGCCGAGATTCGCCGAGATTCGCCGAGATTCGCCGAGATTCGCCGAGATGCAGCCGAAGTGGAGCCGAGGTGGAGCCGAGGTGGAGCCGAGGTGGAGCCGAGGTGGAGACGAGGTGGAGCCGAGGGGCGTCCAGCGTGCGCTCACTTTGCGTTGATGAATCCGCCCGAGAAGAGCATGCCGACGCCCTGGAAGACGAACTTCTCGTCCATGCCCGCCACGGACAGCACGCCCTTGTAGCGGAACAGGTTCGCGCCCATCTCCTGGAGGATGTCCGAGATCCACATGTTTAGCGTCTCAATAATAATTAGTAAGAATAATTAGTAATAATGATGATAATAAGAATCTCCTGGAGGATGTCCGAGATCCACATGTTTAGCGTCTCAATAATAATTAGTAATAATAATTAGTAATAACTGATGATAATAAGAATCTCCTGGATGATGTCCGAGATCCACATGTTCAGCTTCTTGACGTTGAGGAAGCCCTCGAACTTCGCGCTCGTGGAGGAGACGCTGTTATCGTGCTCGTGCTCGCCTAGAAGTGTCTAGGAAGTGTCTAGGAAGTGTCTAGGAAGTGTCTAGAAAGTGTCTAGGAAGTGTCTGTTGTCGTGCTCGTGCTCGCCTAGAACTGTCTAGGAAGTGTCTAGGAAGTGTCTAGGAAGTCTCTGTTGTCGTGCTCGTGCTCGCCTAGAGCGCCATCAGAAAGAATGGCGGTGAGAAGAAAGAACGACAGGACCACAATCACCGCGTGCTCGTGCTCGCCTAGATGACAACGACAGGAGTGGCGATAAGAAATGACAAGAGCGGTGGTGGCTGAAAAGAAGAACGGCCGGGTCTCGCCCGGTCCATCTCCCGATATCTCCCGATCTCTCCCAATCTCTCCCTAGGTCTCGCCCTCGGTGTTGAGGAACTCGGGGTCCATCTCCCGATATCTCCCAATCTCTCCCAATATCTCCCTAGGTCTCGCCCTCGGTGTTGAGGAACTCGGGGTCCATCTCCCGATATCTCCCAATCTCTCCCAATCTCTCCCAATATCTCCCTAGGTCTCGCCCTCGGTGTTGAGGAACTCGGGGTCCATGTCGAGCGTCTTGCGCAGGTCGAAGGAGGAGATGCCGATGAGGTCCTTGGGGTCGACCTGAGGTAAGGTAAGGTAAGGTAAGGTGAGGCACACTTCTCCACACACACGAGGTGGTGGGGCAAGGGCCAGGCTGCTCCCTCGCGACTCCACGTCTAGACGACAGGAGCTGGCACGGCATTCAAAGTGCAAGGCCCAGTGCGCGTGGGTGGGCGGAGGCGGAGGGGGGGGGGGGGGGTGTCGACCTGCCCCTTCTCGCACCGAAAGATGGTGGCGCTCGGGTTGAGCTTGCGGAGCCGCTCCTCGATGGCGGGCAGCTCGGCCTCGGGGACCTGCGTGGGGGAAGACGCCGACGTGAGGGCGGGAGTACAGTATTGTGCAGCGTCTTCATGGCACCGCGTGAGTACAACGGAGAGGAGGGCAGGAGTACAGCTGAACACGTGGCCCTCTCGGGCGCTAGTTGGGAGTACAAGAATGCGGTACTCCGCTTCTAGGCACGAGATATGGGGAGATATGGGGAGATATGGGGAGATATGGGGAGATATGGGGAGACATGGGGAGATATGGGGAGATATTCCGCTTCTAGGCACGAGATATGGGGAGATATGGGGAGAGACAAGAAGGCGTATTCCGCTTCTAGGCACGAGATATGGGGAGATATGGGGAGATATTCCGCTTCTAGGGTCGGGGGACGAGGTCGGTCTTGTTGAGCAGGATCCGGTCCGCAAAGGCGACCTGCGGGCACGGCGGGAGGAGGCGGTGGCGCGGACGTGTCGGGGACGTGTCGCGCCGTGAGCACGCGTCGTGGACGTGGCGTGGACGTGTCGCGCCGTGAGCACACGTCGGGGACGTGTCGTAGGCGTGTCGTGGGCGTGTCGTGGACGTGTCGTGGTCGTGAGCACGCGTCGTGGACGTGTCGTGGGCGTGTCGGGGACGTGTCGTGGGCGTGTCGTGGACGTGTCGTGGACGTGTCGTGGTCGTGAGCACGCGTCGTGGACGTGTCGTGGGCGTGTCGGGGACGTGTCGTGGACGTGTCGTGGACGTGTCGTGGGCGTGTCGTGGTCGTGAGCACGCGTCGTGGACGTGTCGTGGGCGTGTCGTGGACGTGTCGTGGGCGTGTCGGGGACGTGTTGTGGACGTGTCGTGTCGTGAGCACGCGTCGTGGACGTGTCGTGGGCGTGTCGGGGACGTGTCGTGGACGTGTCGTGGACGTGTCGTGGGCGTGTCGTGGTCGTGAGCACGCGTCGTGGACGTGTCGTGGGCGTGTCGTGGACGTGTCGTGGGCGTGTCGGGGACGTGTTGTGGACGTGTCGTGTCGTGAGCACGCGTCGTGGACGTGTCGTGGGCGTGTCGGGGACGTGTCGTGGGCGTGTCGTGGACGTGCCGCCTGCTCCGCCGCCTCCTTCTCGACGCCCTCCACGGGGAGAGGAGCGGAAGACGAGTGCTAGTCCCACCCCTACTCCCGCTAGCAGCCGCCTGCTCTGCCGCCTCGTTCTCGACGCCCTCTGGCTTCTCATCGTCGATGCGCGCGAGGATGTGCTTTGAGTCGCAGACCTATGAGTATGAGCCACCGCTCCGGAGTCGAGTGGACTCGGAATGGCGTGGAGGAGGAGGTGCGTTCGAACGCAGACCTATCGTCGTCAGGGAGGGAGGCATCGCGCTGCTGCCACTTGCTCACAGGAGGAGGGGCGTCGAGCCGCAGAGCCGTGATGATCGCGTCCAGAGAGAACTTGGCCTAGGTCAATTATGTGCCTCTGATTAGTTTTATAATCGTTGTTTTCTTTATTAGATATCACTTTGCCTGGATGTCAATTATGTGCCTCTGATTAGTTTTATAATCGTTGTTTTCTTTATTATATATCACTTGGCCTGGATGTCAATGATGTAGCTCTGATTAGTTTTATAATCGTTGTTTTCTTTATTAGATATCACTTTGCCTGGATGTCGTCGTCCACGAAGAAGGTTTGCGCCACCGGCGCGGGGTCGGCGAGGCCTAGTCAGAGGAAAAGTACGCCCTGTCGTGGTTTCCCACTCATTGAGACTGGAGAGTCGGGAAGGGTCGGCGAGAAACGACAGCTGGCCACGTGTGGAAAAGAGATCTGCGGCGCACTGCGTCTACATCTCGGCTGCATCTCAGCTGTACTCGGCGAGATCTCGGCCTGATCTGCGCTAAAACTCGGCTGCATCTCGGCTGCATCTCGGCTGCATCTCGGCTGCATCTCGGCTGCATCTCGGCTGCATCTCGCCGGTCGTCTCGATGATGACTGCGTCGAACTGCGAGATCTTGGAGTAGAGATTCTTGAGCGCCACGACGAGGTCTCCCCGCACCTGCAGTGCAGAAGGTTCCGAGAAGGTTCCGAGAAGGATCAGAGGTGTGTGGTGTGTGTGTGCGCGCGTGTGTGCGTGTGTGTGCGTGCGTGTGTGTGTGTGTGCGTGTGTGAGTGGGGAGAGAGCGGTGTGGGGCGGTGAGAGAGAGCTTGAGGAGGTGAGAGCTGCGGCGAGAGGTTTGTGTGTGTGCGTGTGTGTGTGTGAGAGAGAAGAGGTTCTCCGCTGCACCGTGCAGCAGATGCAACCGTTCATCACCTCGATGACCTCCTCGTCCGCCTTTTCCGAGAGGATGCGCTCGTCGACGCCGACGTCGCCAAACTCGTTCTCGATGATCGCGAACCGCAGCCCGTGGTTCGGGTCCTCGAGGATGTGGTTGAGAAGCTGCGGACACGGGTCGGCGCGGCGTCGCGCCGGGACGGGACGCTCTCCGCTCTCCGCAGCGTGCGGCGTGTGAGCGGACGGGGCGTGGCGGACGGCGTGGCGCAGCGTGGCGGTGGGCGTGGCACGCGGAAATCGCGTGGCGGCGAGGGAGGAGGTCTCTTCTGCATGTCCTCTCACCGTCGTCTTTCCGCTGCCGAGGAAACCGGTGAGGATGGTGACGGGAACCTGAGGCGGCGAGCACAGCGCGATCAGGCGCGGCGGCGGCGGCGGAGGAGGAGGAGGGCGATGGCGGGCGCGACAGCGGTCGGCAGAGGGGGCGCTCCTTGCGCGACGACATGTCCACGAGCGTCTCTGTGACTGATGGTGGGGTGCTCGAGCCGTGCGGAAAATCTTATATATTAAATCGAAAGACCAGATGCCAGGTACGGGATAGTAGAGCAGGCGCTTTGTGGGTGGCGGTGGGCGGCGGCGCTGGGTGGCCGGCCGAATCGTTAGCTGAGCTCCTCCCTCAAGCTCGATCACGCATGACGCACGTAACCTGACAACGTCGGCGAGCTTCTGGATCAAGTTAGGTTGCTGGAGCACCTCCAACTCCTCCTCTGAGTCAGACACGCCAACGTCGACGACTGCGCCCTCCTCCTCCTCCTCCGATTCGCCGACCACCCTCCTCCTCCATGGGCTCGATCCGATTCCGCAGCGTGTCGTCCTCAGCGGCGGTGCTGCGCGGGAGGTGGCCGCGGGCACGCTGGGCTCGATCAGCGGCTTTCCCTCAGTTGCTCCGAAACACGGATTTGGCGGACGTTCTTCGTTGGCTTCAATTTTGGCAAACCCCGCAAAGTGACCCGTTTTTGCCCACCCACGCCCGTGCGCGCGTATCTTAGCCCCCCCTTGCCCCACCACTTTGTGTGTGTGGAGAAATCTACCTTACCTTACCTTATCTTAGCTAAGGTACGCGGCCACACGCGCTGGCGCGCACGGCAACCGGGACTTACACGCGCGACACGAGGGACTGTGTATCCGTGCCTGCCTCGGGGGAGAATAGCCGCCCTCTCCCGCTGCCGCGCATCGAGCTCGGCGGGGCTGATACGTGTCATTCTGTGCCGGCGCGTATCTTAGCCAACATGTCCTCAGCCGCAGTCGCGGCCGCAGCTCTGGCATCAGAACCCTCGAGCTCGCCGACCGCGTCAGCGGCAGCCTCGCCGACCTTTGCCGCCCTAAACGGCCGACCGCGAAGCACCACCTCTCCCGCCCAGAAGCCCGCCCGTTCTGCAGCCGAGTCCGAAAGGCCCGCGTTGAATGCCTCCATGTACGCCGCCTCGGCCGCCGCCTTGCAAGCGCAAAGGATGTCCCCGGCGTTGCCTGTGTCATTGCAGAATATTATGGCCTTTTGCACGCTGGGAGGGCACCCTTCTCCGGCAGTGTCAAAGGCGGTCTTGTCCGACTTTCGCCGACAGACGGCCCTCATGGCAACCTTCCCCGCTAAGACAGCGCCTTCCTGCAGCGGCGCTGGTGGGGAGGCTGACGTGGGCGCCGCCTCGTCGTCTGCGGATCGTGCAGCGGCGGCGCGGGCGGAAGCGGCACCAGAGGCGGGAAGGAAGCGGGCGCTGCCCTGCCGGTGTTGGAGGCCGGCACGGCGGTGCGCGCTCGTTGGCTTGCTTCGAAGCCCAAGAAGGCGCGCCGCAAGCTGATGCGTACCAAGCGATGGTACATGGGCGTGGTTCGAGCGTATGACGACGCCGATGGCACCTACTCGATCGATTACGACGACGGCAAAAGCGAGGAGGGCGTGGCGGCGCAGCACGTGCAGGTCCTCGAGGAGGAGGCGGACGACGAGGACGATGTGGCGGCGAGGGCGGAGAGCGAGGGCGGGAGCGGCGAGGCACGGGCGATCGGCGAGGTGGAGGAGGAGATGGACACGCAGGCGCCGGCAGCCGAGGCGGAGGGCTTGCGCTTGCACCTCTCCAGCAACAGCACCGGGTACAAGAATGTGGTCAAGGAGTCCTCGGGCCGCTTCGGGGCGAAGCACCAGGTGGACGGCAGGAGTGTCTACATCGGCGCCTTCGACACAGCAGTGGAGGCGGCGGTGGCGTACGCGCGGACCGTTGGCGAGTACCAGCCTCCAGCAGTTGCCACGGAGGCGGAGGGCTTGCGCTTGCACCTCTCGAGCCGCAGCAACACCGGCTACAGTGGCGTGTGCAAGAACCGCCCCTCTGGCCGCTACGAGGCGCGTCGCAGGGTGGATGGCAAGGATGTCTACATCGGCAGTTTCGGCACGGCGGTGGAGGCGGCGGTGGCCTATGCGCGGTCGGTCGGTGAGTACCAGCCTCCATCTCAACCTCACATCCAGGGCCGGGGAGCTGAGGAGCGCACAGCGGGCTACGGGCTAGAGAGCCCTGACCCCTAGCTAGGGGGGGTGCGCATTCGCAGGGCCATAACACGTCTCCGAGGGATGGTTCTGCGCTGCCGGGTACTTGGGGGTTCCCCTTAGCTGCGGAACGCACCCTCTTCCTCGACCGCAGCATGATATTTTATTTTCCGTGTGCAAGTCTCTCGTCGACGGCCACGAGAGCGCGCTGGGCATGGCGTCACCGCGCCGCGAGTTGGTCCCTGCCGACGAGGACGAGATGAACGGGCTGATGGACGAGGACATAAAGGCGCTCGAGCACTCGCGCAGCAAGCTGCGCCGCCAGCTCGGACTCTGCGCTCTGGTGGTCCTCGCGGGCGTCGGCATCGTCTTGCATGGGAGTCTGTCCGAGGCCGCGTCGCCTGCGACGCTGCGCCTGGCAACGTGGAACATCGCCGCCATCAACAACAACCCCTTCGAGTACTGGATCACGCACAGCGACCCCGACTATAATACGCTGATGGCCGACGTGCAGGCGCGCCCGCAGCGCGCGTGCGTCCACTCCTTATACTGCCAGACCGCACATCGCAGAACCGCAACGCTCATCCTCTCAAGACGCACACGCCCAGCAGCGTGCGTTCGCTTTGGGGTGCACCTTCAGCCAGCCTCTCAGGCGTTCGTCGACGCGCCGGCGGAGCGGGACGTGCCCGTCGAGGAGGTCTTTAGCGAGAGCCGCTGGCAGGAGCGCATCGGCGCTCAATGCTGCCGCGCGGTGGGTGGTCGCTCACGGCTGTCGGTGTGAGCAGGAGCTTAAGGCGCTGATGGCGGCAGAGGGGTGGGACGTGGACGGCACGGAGGCGCGCTGGCACGAGGACTTTCGGTCGCGAAAGATCATCTCTGGCTTCCTGAAGGACCGCTGCACACACACACACACACACACACACACACACACACACACACACACACACACACACACACACACACACACTATATAGCACCACCACCACCACCACCACCACCACCACCACCACCACCACCACACACACCACTGCTCACGAGTGCACACCACACGTACACGCTCGCCCTACCCCAGGACCGCTCCATCGGCGAGAAGCGGCTCGCCTCGATGCCGGACCGCGTGACCAACACCATCCACACGCGCGGCGGCAGCGTCTCGTGCCGGCCGACAGTGATCAACTGCTACGAGGGCGATCTGGGCAGCGGCGACAAGTGGTGGGTGGAGTGGAAGCAGTTCATGTTTGCGACCCAGCTTGCGACCGGAGACGGCGACAGCAAGACGCGGCCGGCGGCGATGCTCAAGCCGATCAAGCGCGCAAAGTACCCGGCGGTGAGTGCGGAGGAGGAGGCGATGAGCCTTCCGCTGCAGACGCTGAGCCAGGCCATCTTCGACGCCATCCTCGTGCACATCGTGAACAGCGTGTCGCCCAGTGGCCGGTGGCAGCAGCTGCGGCAAGAGATGTGCGACGCGCTCAACCGGCACAAGGACACGCGCACCCTCGAGATCCTGCAGCAGACGTATGGCACAACCGACGCGGTTTTCCTGCAGGAGGCGGCAGCCTCCTTCCGCACCAGCGCAGCAAAGCGGCTCGGCGGCCGGTACATTGTGGCGGCGCCGTCGACGCTCGACACGTCGCGCGACCAAAACTCGCTGCTGCTGCTGCGACGCGACCTCTTCCTCGAGGCGTCGCTGGTCGACCGCACGGAGGAGGTGATGAAGACCTTCGACAGGAATGTGCCGGTCGCGCCCGGCGACCTGTTCGTGCTGCAGGTCGACGACACGCTTGGCCGGCCGTACCTGCTCGCCTCGTTCCACGGGGACACCAACGGCCTGGCCACCATCCCCGTCCTGGAAGCGGTGACCGCCCTCGCCGCGCGCATGCCCGAGCGGCGACTGATCTTCGGCCTCGACGCCAACACGTATGAGCACGAGGCGCCGGGCAAGCAGGACGTGCTCGGGTTCGCGCGCGCGTACGTCGCGAAGGGGCTCACCTCTTGCTGGGGCGACACGCCGGACCCGACGAACCACACCACGTACAACGCGCGCACCTACCTGCAGGCCCAGCTCCAAAAGGCGGCGAAGCAGTCCGAGACGGCGGCCAAGGGCGACAAGAACCCAAAGGACTTTTTGCTCTTCTCTCCGGCCTCCTTCACGGTGCGCTCGACCACCAAGGACAACACGGGGGAGAGGCGGTACGTCGAGGACATGGTCTTCCCCACGCTGCAGTTCCCGTCCGACCACGGCGTGCTGTCGACCACCCTCGAGGTGCAGCCGCCGAGGCTGAGCCGGTACTTGAGGCCGAGCTTGCTGCACCGGTGACGCGGGCGGTCTGGGCTGTGGAGCCGGAGTCGAGCGTGTCTGCTGCAGCCGGCCACAGCCTCGCTCTGGTAAGCGCCGTCGGTGATGACCTCGCTACGAGCGCTTTTGCGGGCGACCCCTGCCAGTGCCGCACACACACGACACAGACACACCTGCCCCGCTGAGCTTAGCTAGCACGGGTGGTGACTTCACTCAAGGCACTGCAGCAGACGGCGGCATCAATAATCAAAGTACGGGAAGGGAAGAGGAAGGGACTCGAGGCGGAGAGGAAGGAACGAGTAGCCGCGGAAACAGAACGCCTGAGAGAGGGACAGAAGGAAAGGAAGGAGAGGATACGAGAAATGGAGTGGGCGGCGAATGCGTGTATTTGCTGGCGACGGAGGCGACATCGACAACGTGATGCCGAGGAGAAGGAAAGGGAAGAGGCAGAGAGACGCCTCGAAGCGGGGAGAGGCAGAACGACGAGAGCGATGGGGATGACACTCAAAACGACCCACTGCGAGCTCGAAGGCGAAGGCCGCGAGCTCGAAGGCGAAGGCCAGCGCAGGAAACGCGGTGATAGGAACGACGATGCGGCGAGCGCCGGAGGGAAGCGACGACAGCGAGGGGACGAGGACGGCGAGCAGAGAGGAGAACAGACGGCGAGCGGCGCACGCGAGGGCGACCACGCAGGAGAAAACAAACGGGACGAGGGGAAGGAAACGCGGCCCGCCAGGAAGCGAAGGCAGACGGCAAGATACGTCGCCGGACCAGCGACAGGAAGCGCAGGAAAACAAAAAGAACAAGACCAGGAGCATGGAGACGAGGGAAGGCGCGAGGCGCTCCGCCGACAAGCAGCAGAGGCGGCGGCGAAAGTAACGACGGCCATGCTAACGACGGGCGGCACGGTGGAAGGGGCGAAGGTAGGCCCCTCTAGCATAGCGGAAGGGGAACTCGGCCTACTGGCGACGAGGAGGCTAGAGAAATTTGAGGTGTGTAGCATCTACACTGGGGAGATCTTCCGGACAGGAACAGCGCAGCCACCAGAGACAGTACCAGACGAACTATCACGACACACGGCAGCAGGGGGGACGCAGCTGGATGGAAGTGACGACGAGAGCGGGGACGACTTTGACAGCGTCGCGGCGCGGTGTAACTTCGACTGGCCTGCAGCATCGAATGAGCCGAAACGAGGCACGAGGGCGACGCACTTCGTACGCTACGAGGAGATACAATTAGGCAAGGCAGCTGCGCAGGTGATGGTCCTGTTTGCAGAGAGGGGAGTCAAGGAAGGCCAAGAAATCACATGGTCATATGGGGACTCATACAGGAGCCACCGCAAGGAGATGGGATACAGGGCGGGGACCAGGGCGGATCCGAACGCAATAACACCCCAGCAAGCGCGGACGGCATTCGCGAGATACTGCAAAAAGATAGACGTGACGAAGGAGGAGCTAGCGTGGAACTTTGGATGCATATCGGCAAGCCAAAATAACGAGCAGGAGGCTGTCCTGGTGCGTGAGCTAATCCTGAGCAACAATAAGCGACTGTACCACGGAGCACAGAGCGCAGCAGACAGGACGGCGGCGACGGCGGACATGGCAGAGACGAGTGTGAAACAAAGGGCGGCGGGCATGGAGGGCGGTAGCGACGGGGATGGAGACGGTGACGGTGGCGAGGGAGAGGAAGGGGGTCCATTAACACCAGACAGCGAGAGGGGCAGGGAGGAAAGGGGGAGAGAGGAAGCCAACGCGACGTGCGCAGAGGATGAGGATATAAACTGGGACGACGCAGCGGAGGGGATAGGCGAGGGAATCGAGGGACCGGAGGGCTTTCGCGACAGCGACGATGACGACGAAGAAAGGGGAGGGGACGGAGGGGCGACACGCAGGAGGAGCGAAATCGCTAACGGCCCGAGCAGAGAGGGCGACGGCGGGGCACGAGGGAACAACAGAGACGCTACCGATGACGCGAACCGAGGCACGGACGCCGGCGGGGACGGGGAGGGCGACAGCGACGTCGAGGTTGACGCAACCGTATCGAGAGCGCCACCCAAAAAGGGGCGGACAGCCATGGAGGTCACCGAATGGAGGGCGAACGGCACGATGCGAAAAGGCAGGGCGAGGCGGATGGAGAAAGAAGTGCCGAGAAGGCCATGGTGGAGGGGAGGGACGGGAGGACGAAAGAAGGGCGAGGAGGACGAGCGGCCCGCACAGACCGCGAGCAGACAGCGCCTGCTGGCCATTTCGAGACATTCGCCAAGAACGCTAGCTACATGGGAGGGCTTCGTGAAGGATGGATTGAAAAACATTCGAACAAAGAAGAGGCGACGGGAGGAACCGGCGGAGGATGCAGTGACGTGAGACACACACACACACACACACACACACACACACACACACACACACACACACACACACACACACACACACACACAGACACACACACACACACACACACACACACACACACACACACACACACACACACACACACACACACACACACACACACACACACACACACACACACACACACACACACACGCACACACGCACGCACGCACACACGCACGCGCGGGCGAGGACCACTCCGTCGTAGCACGCGGCGTGCAGCTCCCGAACCTAAATAAATAAATAAATAAATAAATAAATAAAACAGCTGCCGAACCTGGGGGAGGGAAAGGTGAGGCAAGGTCCACGTCTCCACAAACGGACGTGGACATGGACGTGGACGAGGCGGTGGGGAAAGGGCCGGGCAGCCCTCGCGACTTCCGCGTCCAACGGCAGGCGCTGGCGCGGCATTGAGGGTGCAAGGCCGCGTGCGCATGGGTGTGCGTGCGTGCGTGCGTGCGTGCGTGCGTGCGTGCGTGCGTGCGTGCGTGCGTGCGTGCGTGCGTGCGTGCGTGCGTGCGTATGTGTGTGTGTGTGTGTGTGTGTGTGCGAGTCTTTTGCGGTGTT